ACACAGCTGGGCCATCTTCTACTTTCCCAGGTGTATTAGCAGGGAGCTGGATCAGAAGTGGAGTACTCAGGACTCGAACCAGCGCCCATATGGGATGCCAGCATCGCAGGTGGTGGCTTAACCTTGTAGCCACAGTGCCGGCCTCTCCATAGACTTTGAGGTCCCCTTCCTCATTCTGTACTTATGACCTCGACAAATATCTACTGAGCACTGTTTCAGGTGCAACACCCACCTTCTTCTTCAACTGCCATCATGATGTTCCAGAAAGGATGAACTATCAGAGGTTGAGGACAAAGGCTGTGTCCAACTCAAGAGCTCTTCCTGAACCTCCGAGAACTGCAAGCTACCGTGACGTCTCCCATGCCTTCCATATAACACTGGCACTCTTATTTCTTTTTTTAAATTTAACTTACTTGCTTTGCTTTAACAAGGAACTTTATGTCTATATGTTAGATAAATTACTATTAAAGTCACCTCACTTGACCACCTAGTGGTATGAATATTTGGCTGTGGAAACCTGTGCTAAATTATCTCCCAAAGGGGTAGGTGTTTGGCCGAGCCACTGAGACACTGGTTCCATCAGAGCACCAGGTTAGACCATCACTTCCAGCCCGACTCCAGCTTCCGGCTATGCACACCCCAGGAGGCAGCAGTAACGGCTCAAGTACTTGGGTTCCTGCCACTCCCATGGGAGGCCTGAACTGAATTCCCAGCTCCGGCTCCTGGCTTCAGGCCCCAACCACTGCAAGCATTTGTGTAGTGAATCAGCAGTTGGGAGCTGTCTCTCTACCTTTCAAAAACAAAAAACCACCTCCTAGAAAGAGCTCTCCCTTCTACCCGTCCCCTCCAAAGCAGCATTCCTCCCCAAACCTCACCTGTCACTCGAGAAGCCTAACACAGTAAGCTTTGCAGACAGCCACTGTGCAATTAGCGATCCCAGAATCCCCTTTCCAACATCCTGGCCAGCAGGTCAACTTGTCTCCGTTGAAGGCCAGGGCTGCTCATGAACTCACCACCTCTAAGCTAACACAGTCCACTCTTGTCCCTAATTTACTCATCTTTGTATCTGAGCTCAATGCCTGGCCAATAGCAAACACTTGGCCTTTTACTACAGTTTGTTGAAGGAATATTTGTGAGTGAACAAGTGCTGGTAGAGAGCTACTACAGTCTGGTGGCTAAATACAGAAGTTAACAAGCCCGGCACTACACAGGCTGACCTGACCTGGCCTCAGTTCTTCTTCTTCTTCTTCTTCTTTTTTTTTTTTTAAGATTTATTTATTCAAAAGAGTTACACAGAGTGAGGAGAGGTCTTCCATCTGATGGTTCACTCCCCAGATGGCTGCAACGGCCAGAGCTGAGCTGATCCGAAGCCAGGAGCCAGGAGCTTCCTCCAAGTCTCCCACACGGGTGCAGGGGCCCAAGGACTTGGACCATCTTGCACTGATTTCCCAGGCCATAGCAGAGAGCTGGATCGGAAGAGCAGCAGCTGGGACTTCAACCGGCGCCCATATGGGATGCCGGCGCTTCAGGCCAGGGTGTTAACCCACTGCACCACAGCGCCAGCCCCCCTGACCGAGTTCTGACATGTAAACGCTTTCTTACAGCTTTTTGAAGCCTTCTCTTACTCTCTGCTCTGATTTGCTCCCTGCCTTTCACCCCTCCCATTTCACACTGTTGACCACCTCCCAGGTGGTTTCGAGGGGCAGGTGCTTCTTGTCCCAGGTTCTCGGCACTGCCTGGCACTGCCTGCCTCTGCAGGGCCCTGTCTCGGTCCCTGTTCCTGCAGGGACTGTCCATCCCAGTCCCTGTATCTCTCCTCTCCTCCTCCCTTTTTCTTAAGCATGGACAACTCTGGGGATCTGAGCCGTCAAAGTACATAAAGCAGAGAAGTAGAAACTGCTGATCTCTTAACATTGACTTCTGGCTCTGCCTTCCATCTACAAAATAACAATCATGGGGCCGGTGCTGTGGCGCAGTGGGTTAAAGCCCTGGTTGCAGCGCCAGTATCCCATATGGGCACTGGTTCTAGTCCTGGCTGCTCCACTTCCGATCCAGCTCTCTGCTGTGGTCTGGGAAGGCAGTAGAAGATGGCCCAAGTCCTTGGGCCCCTGCACCCATATGGGAGACCTGGAAGAAGCTCCTGGCTTCAGATTGGTGCAGCTCTGGCTGTTGCAGTCAGTTGGGGAGTGGAAAATAGAAGGAAGACCTCTCTGTGTAACTCTGACTTACAAATAAATAAATAAATCTTGAAAAAAAAAAAAGCCGAGCACCTAGACAATGGCTGTGCCTCCTGCGCCTGCGCATCTCCGGCGTCCGTCTCAAGCCTCCCTCTCTCTCCTCTAGCCCATAGTGGTTGTCCTCTTTCCCGAGTTCCTGCAGCACCATTTCCCCAGATCATGTTTAGCATCGACCACTCTTCCATTCAACAATTATTCCATGCCTGCTTTGCGCCAAGCCCTGTGCTACACACCTAAGAGGATTAAGGGCAGCTGTGAGTGTTTCGTATTCCTCTCGCTGCTTAGCAAGGGGATACCCACGCAGTGTGAAGTCCGAGTACCTCGAAACGGCACCCAAAGGCCCTTCAGATAGACTGCATCTGGCTTCATCTCCCGCCAAGCACAGCACCCCACCCTGTTTCTTTGACAGCTGAGTCTTTGCTCCCAAAGGCCTTCTACACAGCTTCTTTTGATCAAACTACTCGGTGCTGCCCAGTAATTGATCACAAATCTTCTCCAGCCTTTCACATGTATTCACAGCCCAGAGAAAGCATGCATTCCAGTGGGAAGCCTTCCCCCACCTCCCAGGCATTTACCATCACATACAATACAGTGGCCTTGGTACCCTCAGGGGATCGGCTACAGGATACCCCTCCCCCCACCCCCAGGCCAAAACCTGCTAATGATCAAGCCCTTTATATAAAATGGGACTGTGGTTCCGCATACTTCAAATCATCTCCAGGTTACCTGTAATACCCAACCAGATATACACGCTATGGTTATCATACTGTATTGCTTAGGGAGTGCTTTTAAAAAGCCTGCGCATTTTCAGTGCAGACAAATTTTTTAAACACACACTTTTGATCTGTGGTTGGTTGAATCCATGGATGTCAGGGAGCTGACTATACCAGTTAGCTTATCTGAGCCCAAGTCTGTCCCACCTTAAGCTCTCTGAGGGCAGTCTGGGAAGAATGTAGGTTGGCTTTCTAGTTATGAGCCAAACATCTCAATCTAGATGTCAAACTCAGATACACTTTGACCCTCAGAGTTGGCCTACAGGATGTGTGTTAAAGATGAAAATGCTATATAGGGGCCGGCACTGTGGTGTAGCGGTAAAGCCGCCGCCTGCAGTGCCAATATCCCACACAGGCACCGGTTCATGACCCGGCTGCTCCACTTCTGATCCAGCTCTCTGCTGTGGCCTGGGAAAGCAGTGCAAGATGGCCCAAGTCCTTGGGCCCCTGCACCCACATGGGAGACATGGAAGCAGCTCCTGGCTCCTGATCGGGGCAGCTCTGGGCACTGCAGCCAGCTGGAGAGTGAACCAATGGATGGAAGACCTCTCTCTCTCTCTGTGTGTAACTCTTTCAAATAAATAAATAAATCTTTTTAAAAAATGGATTTTCCACCTTTAAAAGCTGGACACGCTCACATGAAGTCTGGTTTCTGGCACGAGACCACTTTCCCACGGCACCATCCGCTGGAGCTGGGACAGGAAGCCTGCTTTCCTGTTCACACTCCTGTGGTCCTTACCACAAAGACTGGTGAGTGTGTTACTCCTTATTCCAACTGTAAAATCACAAGTCACACTTCCTTACACTCGAGCCCTGAAGGCATCTGAGCCTCTAAGCCTACTCTCATCTGTCCACGGGGGAAAAATTAGCATTTACCTATAACTCTGGAAACGGAGGGCAGGTTGAAGCAGACATAAAGCCGGGGACATGGGAAGTGCTTGAAAACGACTGTTAATGCCAGGAGACCCGTGCACAGGGGAGCGGATGAATGAATGGACAACCCAACCAATGACCACGTCCCTGCTCCGGCAAGGGGAGAATGATGGAGGAGAGGCGTTTGCACCCCTCCGTGAAAGTCGCACTCTGTGTGCCTGGGGTGCTGCAGGTGCTCAAAAATAAATAAATAATAAATAAAAAGGGGGGAGGGGCGACATGTCAGTTACGAATTCCGAGAATTCGTGAACGGAGGCGTGGAAGCGATCCGGTGGTCAAGCGAGCGATGCCTGCGGAGGGTTCGCGAGGCGAGGCGCGGCGTGCAGCAGGTGCTCCGCGCGCCCGCACCAGGGGCGGCCCCGGCCGCGGCGCAGGGCCCAGGGCCGCCCTCGGCCCGCGGCCGCCCTCCCGCCCCGCCCCGCCCCGCCCTTACAGGACGTCCTCGCGGATGGAGGTGCCGTGGTTGAGGTTGTGGAAGCGGACGGAGACGCAGTCCCTGAGGATGAAGGAGCACCTGTTCTCCTTTTTGTAGGCGCTGAAGCACTCCTTGAAGTCCTCGTAGGTCTTGAAGCAGCTGCCCAGCTCCATGGCCGCCCACGCAGCCCACGCCACGGCCTGGCCCCAACCCGGGCCCAACACCTCACCAGGGGTCAGAGGTCACACCATGAGGGTTCCCAGCCTGGCGTGGGCCCAGGACGCCTTAAGGGGCAGCCACAATTGGGTGGCCGACTATGGAGCTCAGGAGGAATTCTAGATCTGACAAGGTTATGAGGCTGGGGGCGTCTTAGCTTTCTGACAGAGAGGAAGAAAAAAAAAGATGACACTCGGTCCTTATTATCCAGGCCAAAGGCTCCGCCCACTCATGTCACAGCCAATCACACACAGAGTTCCCAGACTGGCACTCATTTTCTCCAAACGCCCGAGAAAGAGGGCCACGCCCAGCGTCGGACTGACAGGAGCACCAACCAATCGTAACCTGCAGCCCTCTCGCCCTGGAGCCACAGGGGATTTCCGGCTGCTAAGAGCGTCTACCGGAAGCGCAGGGTGCCGGGTAGGTCTCCGCGTGTCCCGCCCTGGTCAGTGCACCGGGCTGGCAGCGCGTGAGCGAGAAGATGTCGTCTCCTCAGACCCGGGAGGACGGACAGGGCGGCGACGGCCGCGACGATCCCCCCCGGGACCTTCGTAGCGTCCTGGTCACCAGTGTGCTCAACCTCGAGCCGCTAGACGAGGATCTCTTCAGGTAGCCGGCGGCGCCTGGCCCGCACCCCGCCTGACGCCAGAGCCCGCTGATCTCGGCTGCCGCCGTGCCCTGGCCCTCGCCACCCGGGCGAGGAGGAGCCGTGCGCGAGATTCAAGCTCTGTGCACTTAGGAACGGACCTGCGCCCGACAGAGCTGCCCTCCCCGGGGGGCGGCTGCCCTGGGGTTTGCCCAAGGGCACAAGCGGACCAGGTTGAAAACTTAGACGCAGCCCCTCCCGCACCCCGTCGCCGGCCCCCTGTGGGGGCTGGCAGCTCATCTCGCACCTTGAAGCCTGGGTCTGTTTACTTCCCAGGCGCGCAGGTTGGCCTTGTTGGAGGCTACCTCGCCTAGACCTCCCCTGCTCGCGCTAATTACAAATCCCTTCCCGGGGGGCTGTTTGCAGCACATTGTTAGGGAAAATGCTAAGCTCCAGGCTGGGTGGTGGGAGATTCCGGTCACCCCCGGGCCTGGCCTGGCCGCAGTTGGCTCGGCTGTGTAAGATGGCACAGCCGGAAGGAGTTAGATTTGACATCAGAGACCCTTGTAGTTCCGAATCCCGTTGGAAGGATTGGGCTGCTGTGGGTGAGAGGTGTGAGGGACAGGCCTTAATCCAGCCCACCTGCAGCTCCGCTCTCGGGCTTCATTCTGGTCCAAGCAAGGCCTTGGGAGGCTTGTGCCTCCCCCTGTGACGGGGAGCGGAGGGAACACTGGACTTGCAGTCAAAGTCCAGGTGCCGCCCAAGACTGGCAGTGTTGAAGCTGTGTGAGCTTGCTTGAGTTACTTTCCCTCCCTAAGCCCTGTTCCGAGTGTAAAATATGGAGGTTCGTTCATTATGCGCAACGCCTTCGTGGTCACAGAGGCTGTGGAGTCTCCCGCAGAGTGACGGACGTAAGGATATTTGCCTGGAAAGCAAATTTTACTAGATGTTCCTAGAATCAGAAAAACATCCCAGACCCAGATGTGGTTTTGAGATCCGGCACGGAGGGGCTGGGGAGGCCGGGAAGTTGAGCCCAGCCCCCCCTCCGTCTGTCTTGCTTTTCTCCTCTCCCCACAGAGGAAGGCATTACTGGGTACCCACCACCCAGCGGCTGTTTGGAGGTCAGATCGTGGGCCAGGCCCTGGTGGCCGCAGCCAAGTCTGTGAGTGAAGACGTCCACGTGCACTCTTTGCACTGCTACTTTGTTCGGGCAGGTAAACCCCCTTCCCTAATCCCCAGGCAGCCCTAGTGACCCAGGAGCCACTAGGAGAAAGGGAGAGAATAGGGCTGGAAGGAAGAGCAGGGAGGGAGCGGGAGACACCTCCCTAGGAGGCCTTGGGTAGAGCTCACACCCCCTGAGGCTCACTGCGCACTAGTCTTCTTGATCCCTGAAGATGCAAATGGTGGCCTAACTGCTTCCTGTGTGCCTTTTGTCCTTCCTTCTTCACATGCCCTCTGGGGCTTAGCACCGCACTTATCCTCTGCTAGGGGTCTGGAGGTGGGCGAGAGCGCAGAATCTGTGGCTCTAGGGCCTAGTTTCAGCAATGCCCGGAATCGGGCAGACAGCCTTGAGCCTTGGTTGACCTCATCTGTAACATGGAGGGAGGGGGCAGGTGTTTGGGACAGCAGTTAAGATGCCACTTGGGACACCCACAGTCCCGTATCAGGGTGCCTGGGCTCTGCTCAATTTCAGCTTCCTGCTAATGCACACCCTGGGAGGCACCGGCTGATGGCCCAAGTTCATGGATCCCTACAGCCCACTTAGAAGGTCCAAATTGAGTCCCTGACTCTCAACTTCAGCCTGGCATGCCCTGACTATTAGTAGCATTTGGTTAGTGAGCCAGCATTTAAGAGATCCCTGTTTCTCAAGTAAATTGTTAAAAATTAAAAATAACAGGGGCAGATGCTGTGGCATAGTAGGATAAGCCTCGCCTGCAGCACCGGCATCCCATATGGGTGTCTGTTCAAACCCTGGCTGCCCCTCCTCCAATCTAGCTCTCTGCCGTGGCCTGGGAAAGCAGTGGAAGATGGCCCAGGTGCTTGGGCTCCTGCACCCGTGTGGGAGACCTGGAAGAAGCTCCTGGCTCCTGGCTTTGATCTGTTCAGCTCCAGCCATTGCTGCCTTTTGGGGAGTGAACCAACGGATGTGATACTGGAGGGAAGGCTGTGGAAGCCATGGGGTTCTTGTCTTCGTGGGGTTCTTCGTGCAAGAAAGAATTCAGGCGTGAGACAGAGAGCGGAGTGAAAAGGCTTTATTGGGGATAGGGCATCCGACAGAACGGAAGGGACAGAGAGCACCCAGTCACTCGGACTGCGGAGAGCGAGGTTACATGGTTGAGTGGAGAGAATACACCTGGGCAGGCCAGGTGGGCCGCTCAGCAGAGAGGCAGAGGGCTGAGCGCGCAGTGCGTTTGGATTCCCTAGGTTTTTAAGGGAGTCTGTTTACCCACCGCCCTCTCTCCTCCAGGACAAAGGATGGAGAGTCCTGGCGGAAGGGTTTATGGGGTGAAAATTAGCAAATTCCTCCCAGATTTGCTGGCAGAGTAGGGGGGCTTCCCTTAGGGCGGCTGAGAAGGTTTTATTGCCCCATGTTATCAGGTAACCCCTTTGGTCCTGAGGAGGAATTCTGGGAGGTCTTCAGGGTCTGAGCAGGACTTTGAAGTGCAAGATGCGGGGCTTCTGGAGCTTCCGCAGTAGGTGCTAGTCTTCAGGCCTTGCACACACACACACACACACACACAGACACACAGGCTCAATTTCCGACTTCCTACCTAACAGGTGGAAGACATTTCTCTGTGTCTCTACCTCGCTCTGTTTGTAACTACTTCTTAAATGAAAAATAAATAAAATATTTTTTAAAAATTAAAATAATAAAAATGGAAGAGAGGCAGGACCAGAGGTATTTTATATATGTCCTATACAGGTTATTATAGCTCTGGAATCAAATAAAAGAGTAATAATATAAAACAGATGCTCTCTTTTGAAAAAAGAAACAAAATCCTCACTTGCTTCCCCTCCTCCGCCTCGTCTCTAAGGCAGATGCCGGTGATTTGTCTTTGGCCCTGGCCTGGCCCACTGGCTGAGAAGATTTTGTGCAACTCTGCAATATGTGATTTGCATTAAGCAAACCCCAGTGATGATGTCTCCTGATATTTTAAAATTTTTATTTTTATTTGTTTGCAAGTGAGAAAGACAGAGATCTCCTATCTGCTGTTTCACTCCCCAAATGCCCGCAAGAGCTGGGGCTGGGTCAAGCTGAAGCCAGGACCTCAGAGCTCATTCTGGGTCTGTTATGTGAGTGGCAGAGAGCCATCATCTGCTCCCTCTCAGGGTGCAGGAAGCTGGCATCAGAAGTATCGGAAGTGGAGCCAGGACTTGAACCTGGGCACTCTTTTTATGTGGGCTGCAACGGCCCCAACCAACACCTTGACACAGTGCCAAATGTCTGACCCTTCCCTAGTGTAGTGAAGTATCAGATAAACAGTTTCAGGTGGATGAGTTGGAGCTTAAGCATAGGTGACTGCATTCCGGTTTTCAGTCTGGTCATTTGGGGCCAGTTGGGGCCTAGGGCAGGAGCTTATTCCAAAGCTATGGCCGCTCCTTTGTAATGTTGATTTAGCAGGAAGTGGAGCTGTGGGTATTCCCCCCACCATTCTTACTTAAGGAAGCTAGGCTTGAGGGTTTTCAACCAGTTCCTGCGGTGTTCTGGATTTGAACCTCGTTTGGGTGTTTCCAAGGCCAAGCTCTTTGCTGCTGCTTTGCCTTTCTGTTTCATCCTTGGGATGTAATTCCAAGCCGTGAGAGAGCTGCCAGGGTGCCATTCCCAGGTTCTGGGGGAAAGGTCCTCTTCTTTGGAAGTTCTCCACCCAAGGGCAGCATAAAATGAACCATGCCCAAGCTACCATTTCAGACTTAATCATTAATTATTTGTGCCTCTGTCTGCCTCTTGAAAGGCAAGACAGCTTAAAATAATTAGCACCTGTTAAAGGACTATCAAAATAAGAGTCAAAGAACAGGCTTGGGGGAAATGATCGTGTCAAGAAACTAAGCTAAAACACTGGATCAGTTTTGCACAAAACTTAGTTCTGAGCTTCTTGGCACAAGGCAAAATGGAAGCTTTCTTACCAGTTTGTGATGTGATTCAGATACATTAAAGATAACCAGTGATGATGTTTCAACGACATTTTAAATAAAATATGCAAGGGGCAGGGCTTGGCCGTTTGTCGTATCATTTCATTTCTTTCTCCAAAAGCCCAGGAAAAAATGGTGATCAGCTGGAGTTTTATTTTCAGGTTTCCTCTACAGAGGTACTAAGTGTATGGGAGTAATCTAATGTAACTCGGTGTGGGTTCTGATAGAGTCTGGAGAATCCCTAATGGATCTGCAAACATTGCGTCCAGGGTCAGATAGTAAATACTGTGGAGCTGTCCACAATATGTAAGTGAGCACGACTGTATTCCGAAAATGTTTATCTTAAAGCATCCGTTTTCTCCCCACCCTGCGCAGCTCCTGTGAGACCAGCACGAGGAGACATTCCCCAGGGCCTGGTGCCGCCTGGCAGCCGGCACTTGCTCCAGAACCGTTACCGCCTTCCTTCAGGGTGCTCTAGGGCCTGCCTGCTCTGCCCTCGTGGAAGTAGGCAGGAGACTGGGAACCCAGTCACACTGCAAGGCTGCGATCCTCCTCTGGGAATTTGCGTGTTAGCTGCTGCCTGAGGATTCCTTTAGAGCTTTCTTTTTTTTAAAAAAATTATTTATTTGAAGAGCGGAGTTACAGAGAGAGAGAGAGAGAGGTCTTCCATCCTCTGGTTCACTCCCCCAGATGGCCATAATGGCTGTAACTGTGCCGATCTGAAGCCAGGAGCCAGGAGCTTCTTCTGGGTCTCCCACATGGGTGCAGGAGCCTAAGGAGTTGGGCCATCTTCTGCTGCTTTCCCAGGCCATAACAGAGAGCTGGATTGGAAGTGGAGCAGCCGGGTCTCGAACCGACACTCATATGGGATGCCGGCACTGCAGCCGGCGGCCTTATCCACTACGCCACAGCGCCTGGCCCACCCTTTTCTTTGTAAAGTGTAAAACTTCAGTGTTATAGAGGGCAGGCTTCCTTCCCAGACCCTGAAATCAGACAGCACAGTAGCTGTCTCCAGTGCCTCCACTCTTTGTAAGCCTTCCTTAAAAGCCTTTGACTTTGAATACCTCCCATTCTGATAAAGAGCTCTTTTTTTATTTTTTAAGATTTCTTTATTTATTTGAAAGGCAGAGATACTGAGAGAGAGAGAGAGATCTTCCATCCATTGGTTCACTCCCCAAATGGCCACAATGGCCAGGACTGGGCCAGGCTGAAGCCAGGAGCTTCTTCTGGCTCTCCCACATGAGTGGCAGGGCCCATGCGCTTGGGCCGTCTTTTGATACTTTCCCAGGAGCATTAGCAGGGAGCCAAATTGGAAGTGGAGCAGCCGGGATTTGAACCAGCACCCATATGGGATGCCTGCACTGCGGGCAGACATTTAACCTTCTACGCTACAGTGCCGGCCCCTCAAAGTGCTCTTTATGGCGATCCCAGTACCAGCTGGGCTTCAGACATTGGTGTTTACTGAAAAGCCCCTGGTACAAGTTAGTGCCCCTAGGATTTGGATCCCAGTAGAGGAGGCAACACTTCTAGTCTGCTGCTTTCAACTGCAAGTTGAAGATCATCCCCTAAATACCTCACAGCTCAGGTGTCAGAGCTTTCCATAGTCAACCTGACAGCAAGGCGCTTCAGGGACACTGGGGGGCTGGGCCTCTAACGATGCTCCCTGACCTTCTAATCGAAGTCAGTGCGTCCACGCAGCATTGGCGCACAGGCACTGGCTGGGGAAGGACCATTCACACATGAAGAGCCTGGCTGACAGCCTTCCGGAGAGAGACTGAGTGTACAAAGAGATAATAGCCTGGCCAGACCACTTACAGAAATGGGTTTGGATATTTGGCACAATGGGACCGCAGATGCCAACTGGGACTCCCACGTGCCATATTAGGGTGCCTGATCTGAGTCTGGGCTCCCTGCTTCTGATCCGGTTTCCCGCTATTGTGCACCCTGGAAGGCAGCAGACAGTGGCTCGAGTACTTGGGTCCCTGCCACCCACATGGGGGTTCTGGGTGGGGTTCCAGGCTGCTTACTTCAGCCTGGCCCAGCTCTGGCCAATGCAGGCAGATCTCTTTGCCTTCTCTCTCTGTCTCTGTACCTTTCAAATAAAAAGTAAAAATACTAAATAAAAATTTGAAAAAAACCTTCATCTCTGATCCATAGGTAGCAGTAATCCAACAGGAAGCCAACCTTTCTCCATGTCAGCCTTGTAGGCGATCAGACCGCCGTCTCCAGCGAGCAGTTCAGGCAGCCAGACAACAACCCCAGCCAGGACTCAGTTAATAACTGACAGCTTCCCTCATTCGTGGCCCCGCTTCCAACTTAGGGCCAACTAGAGAAAGCGGAATCTGCGTTCGTCACCCTGTGCTTGGAATACCCTGTGTCTTGTTCGCCTGCTTCCCCGTGCCAGCAACAGGGCACACCTGAACCTTCCTTCTCCAGACCTCTCTGCTCCTCTGCCTGCCTTTGGGTCTCTGCCAAAAGCACGTGACGGTGGTTGGTTCTCTGCTGGAGCAAGTTCTGAATAAATAGCCTTTGTTCCAAAAAAAAAAAAAAAAAGACAAGACCCAAGAAGGGAAACAGGCAGTAGGCCAGCGTTGCTGACTTTTGATCTAAAAGAATGGAATGGGTTAGGCCTCATGACAAGATCCCAGGCACGGATGGAACAAGAAAGCTATACTGTGTGCCAGATATTGTTCTAAACTTTACTACTGGGAGCTCACTTGATTCTCACTAAAATATTGTGAGGTATCCCCACTCTGGCCACCGTTTTACAAATGAGTATGCTGCTCAGAAAAATGAGGTGATGGGCCGGCGCCGCGGCTCACTAGGCTAATCCTCTGCCTTGCGGCGCCGGCGCACCGGGTTCTAGTCCCGGTCGGGGCGCTGGATTCTGTCCCGGTTGCCCCTCTTCCAGGCCAGCTCTCTGCTGTGGCCAGGGAGTGCAGTGGAGGATGGCCCAGGTGCTTGGGCCCTGCACCCCATGGGAGACCAGGAGAAGCACCTGGCTCCTGGCTCCTGCCATCGGATCAGCGCGGTGCGCCGGCCGCGGCGGCCATTGGAGGGTGAACCAACGGCAAAGGAAGACCTTTCTGTCTCTCTCTCTCACTGTCCACTCTGCCTGTCAAAAAAAAAAAAAAAAAAAAAGTGATTTTCCCAGGATCCCCCACTGATGAGGGGCACAGGTAGGGTGTGAATGCTGAGGATCTGGCCATGTCCGTGCGCCACCTGCTCGGAGCTGCGTGATGACAGGACCCAGGCCCTCGCGGGCCTCAGTCAGTAGCTAGGAAGCAGGAATGAAAGGGAGGACAGGTGGAGGAGAGGTGCTTGTGCAGTCACTGTGGTGATGACAGGGCCTGTGGGGCCGACTCTGGCTCACCAGGCCCCTTGTGCCCGACGCAGGGGACCCAAAGGTGCCAGTGCTGTACCAGGTGGAGCGGACGCGGACAGGTGCAAGCTTTTCGGTGCGCTCCGTGAAGGCGGTGCAGCATGGGAAGCCCATCTTCACCTGCCAGGCCTCCTTCCAGCAGACCCAGCCCAGCCCTGTGCAGCACCAGTTCTCCATGCCCTCTGTGCCCCCACCGGAAGAGCTGCTGGACCACGAGGCCCTGATTGACCAGTATTTGAGGTGAGAGAGCGATGGCTCCAGGGCAGGGCTTTCACAGGGTTTAGTGGCTGCTGGAATCCTTTAGTGCAGGGGCGGGGCCATATAAGGCCAGCAAAACCCTTAGGTCTGGCCTGCCAAGGCAACCGCAGGCAGGGCTCGAAATTCACAAAATCTGTAGCAGGCTCATTTTTTTAAAAAGATTCATTTATTTATTTGAAAGGCAGAGTTAGAGAGAGGCAGAGAGAGAGGGGTCTTCCATTTGCTGGTTCACTCCCCAAATGGCTGTAACAGCTGGAGCTGAGCCAATCCAAAGCCAGGAGCCAGGAGCTTCTTCTGGCTCTCCCATGTGGCTGCAGGGGCCCAAGAACTTGGGCCATCCTCTACTGCTTTCCCAGGCCATAGTAGAGAGCTAGATCAGAAGTGGAGCCGCTGGGACTTAACTGGTGCTGAGAGATGTCTCTTTCTTCCTCTCTGTCACTCTGCCTTTCAAGCAAATAAATGTCTGGTTTTTTTTTTTTTTTTTTTTTTAAGATTTACTTGAAAGGCAGAGAGGGAGAGAGACAGATCTCTCACCCAGTGGTTTACTCCTGAAATGGCTGCAATGGCCAGGGCTGGGCCAAGCTGAAGTCAGGAGCCCAGAACTCTATCCGGGTCTTCCACATGGGTGGCAAGGGCTCCCAAGCACTTGGGCCATCTGCTGCTTTCCCAGGTACATTAGCAGAGAGCTGGATCAGAAGTGGAACAGCCAGGACTCAAAGGTGCTTATAGGGGATGCCAGCCTTGTAGGTGGCGGCTTAACTCGCTGTGCCACAGTGCTGGCCCCAAATAAATTTTTTTTAAATAAATGAAATAGAATTCACACTTGTTTCTCAGTTATTCTGCCACATCCCATCAGCCTGACTCTTCTGTTCACATGGATGGATGGAGTGAAAATGGCAGGACCTGGGAAGAGCACTGTGGGTGGTGGGGACTGTGCTGAGGGCGCCTTCCTGGACATGCAGGGGTTCATGGTGTCCTCTGCTGGTAGCTCCATGCAGATCACGCAGCCTGTGGCTTGCATGTTTGGAATAATGTCATGGTTAAACATATGGAACTGGGCAGCCCGAGTTACAGTTATCAAACGGGCATGCTAACGATTCCTCTCACAGGGTTGCTGTGAAGAGTGAGTTGTATGTGCAGCACTTGGGAGCTGCGTATGGTAGTGTGTGCTTATCACTAGGGCATGCTGGGCTTGTTTGCCTTATCTTGTCTTCTCACAGCGTTTGCTAGGAGGTAGGGTACTCTCATTTCCCAAGCAGGGCAGATGGGAAAGCAGGCTGAGAGACTGCTGACATACGCAAGACCACGTGGCTCCTAAGGATTCACACACTGTGCCCTCCTGCCTGCCTCGAGGGGAGGGAGGTCTGGAGGAATGAGGAGGGGATTACAAGAGGCTCCCCATCTTTGGGGTCTCCTGACCCTTTCCTCTTCACTTTCAGGGACCCTAACCTCCAGAAGAAGTACCGAGTGGGGCTGAACCGAATTGCTGCCAAGGAGGTGCCCATTGAGATCAAGCTGGTCAACCCACCCTCCTCCCTGAGCCAGCTACAAAGGACGGAGCCCAAACAGATGTTCTGGGTGCGAGCCCGGGGCTATATTGGTAAGAGGACCCCAAAGATTGGAGGAACTGCTGCAGAGGTCTAGGCCTGCCACTCGCTTGCCCAGGGTGGCCTGGGGCACGCTGCATCTGCTGTCTTTTTTTGTTACCTGCATGATGGGGAAGTTGGCGGAGCTTCTCACCAGGGCCCTCTCAGCCCTTTGCATAGGGAGAAAGGGGAGGTGACTAATCCCAGCGGAGGACTCTTCGGGGGAAGTAAGGTGCCTCGCTGAGGGAACCTCTACCTCTGCAGTCAGAGGAAGATACACCGGCCAGGGCCTGGGGTGGGAGACTTGGGGGTGAAGACTGGATTTTAGTCCTCAGTTACCCCACCCTTGTCCATTCCCACTCCTTTGTCCTGTCACACACACACACATACCTCCGGCAGCAGCTGGCCTATACACCGTGCGTGGAGGTCCCTTTCTCCCCACCTCCCTGGAGGTCCTGAGCTGTGACGCCCAGGAGCCCAGGGCTGACGCGCTGGGACCTGTTCCAGGGGAGGGCGACATCAAGATGCACTGCTGCGTGGCCGCCTACATCTCGGACTATGCCTTCCTGGGCACGGCACTGCTGCCCCACCACCGGCAGCATAAGGTGCACTTCATGGTCTCCCTGGACCACTCTATGTGGTTCCATGCTCCGTTCCGCTCTGACCACTGGATGCTCTATGAGTGCGAGAGCCCTTGGGCTGGTGAGTTTGGGGCCGCAGGGGACGAGGGCACTGACCCGGGGTGGAGGGAGCCTGCTGCCTTGGGTGATGCTGTCTCCCCCACTTCCTCGGGGGCACTGCACGGTTCGCGTCCTCTCCTGCCCGGCTTTGGCGTTCTCCTCTTTAGAACAGGGTGAGGAGGGGACACCCGCTCAGCTCTGTTTCTCTGACATTCCGAGAAGATGACTCACTTTTTTAGAGACCCAGGTCTAGTCCGGAAGTACTTCATTCTCCACGTGGCAAATCCTGTCTCCCCTCTGCCTTTTCCCAAGTAGGGTGACCTCAGAGCAGTGTTGCCTAAACTTGGCAATTCACTGGACTGCCACTTGAGGGAGCTTTTCCCAACTCGATTCTGACTCCACTCCCCGGATGGTGATTCAGCTGGTCTTGGACAAGGTCCAGGAAGCTACTCAGGAGAAGTTCCCTAAGTGATTCTGCTGATTGACGTGGCTGGGGGTCCTGCAGGGCCTGGAGTCGGGCCTCTGAGTGACGTTTGTCCAGGCCCAGGCGCCAGGAGAGCCGAACGTGGGCCTCCAGAAAGGGTGCCAGGAAAGGGTGGGGGCTCTTGTCCCCCAGGCTCTTGTCCCTAAGGGCCTCACTCCCTGCGCCCTGCGTGTCAGGGAGAGAGAAATCTAGACTCAGGTATCACCCCGTTCCAGAATCCTGCTCTGTTTCACAGGAAGTACATTTCCAGTAATGAAACACCTTGCTTTCGAAAACTGGGACAGAACTTAAGGGACTGTTTATCCTCAGGGGAGGGGCACTCTCAGGTGCCAGTAGGGTCAAAGACAAGACGAGCGATCCCGAAGGCAGGGCACTTGGGTCAGGTTTGGCCTGCCTCTTGGGGCCGAGTTCCTCAGCCTCTCTGGACTGTGATGTCGTCATCTAGAAAACAGGACAAGAAATGAAGCCGACTGCATTTGGCTTCTGTGAGAACTAGGTGGGCTCTGCCATGTTTGGGGAAACCACCAGTTCTCTATAAGAAACCTCACACTCAGGTCCAAGTCCAGCGAGGAAGAATGTCCAGGTGGAGAGGGAGGCCAGGTCGCACGGCCTCGGGGGCCCTCCCCAGAGCCCCTCCGAGCCCTCATGAACTTCCAGCCTGGAGGCCTTGGCTTGATTATTACAGGGGAACTGCTGGGCTTCCCAACCCAGGCAGCCAGGGGTACAGCACAACTGCTGGGTCAACCTATTGGAGGGCACGGTTCTCGGAGCTCCTCCCTCTGTGATGTTTTTGAGGAAGTGAGCCGGTGCTTGAATGTGCTTTTCAACCGTTAAGTGGAGTTTCTGTGGGAGGAGTTCCCCCCAGTGACTGTCCACAAGAGGCCCATAAAGGGCCACCAGGAGATTTGGAGCAGCCAGAACACTATGTCCTGTGTGGGCAGCCCTGGCCGGGGCCAGACCCTTCCGAAGCAGCACAGCTGGGCATGCTGAAGCACAGCACAGGGAAGGCCTGTCTCACCCTTCTCACCCGCAGGTGGTTCTCGGGGGCTGGTCCATGGGCGGCTGTGGCGTCGGGACGGGGTCCTAGCCGTGACCTGTGCCCAGGAGGGCGTGATCCGAGTGAAGCCCCGGGTCTCAGAAAGCAAGCTGTAGCCAGAGGTACCAGCTTGGCCTGGGCCTTCCAGAAACTCCTTTCTCCCACCATTCCTGAGGCAGAGTTACAGTTGAGGGCTGAGCCTTCTGTCCCCTGCCCCCCTCCCCCCCTCCCGCCCCCATCCAATAAAGAGACTCATACCGCTGGAGTGGCCTTTAATTCCCCCGGGCCAGACCTGCAGCCCTCCCTCCATCCCTCAACTTCAGGACTCCAGGGCAGAGTCCCTCGCTCTTCAGCCAGGCTGCCTGGCTGGCTCGGAGGTCTGTGGGAAACGAAACGCTGGCCCTGAGTTGGCCCTAGCCCCTGACTGTTTATAAGCCAGAGAGAGGCTGCGTCCAGTTTCCTCCCTGCACCATTCCGGGGCGTCCTGAGCGCTGCTCACCAGAATTCAGTCTCCTCACTCTGCTACAGATCCTCTCTGTGGACATTTCAGGGGCCCCAGCTGCTCTCCATGTCCTCAGCAGGGTCTTGCCCCCGTTTGGGGCAGTGACCCTCAGTCTAAGCAAGGATTAGTCCAGCACCTCCTTGATGAGCAGTTCTTTGAGACTGGGGGGTGGCATGGGCGTAAGGCCTGCCTCCTGCAGGGCCTGGAGTCGGGCCTCTGAGTGACGTTTGTCCAGGCCCAGGCGCCAGGAGAGCCGAACGTGGGCCTCCAGAAAGGGTGCCAGGAAAGGGTGGGGGCTCTTGTCCCCCAGCAGCTGCAGGGCCTTCTCACAACAGGCGCGGGCCTCTCCAGGGTCCTCCAGCTCCTGGTGGCACACAGCCAGTCCAGCCAGGGTCAGCAGGGGGCGGTCTGGGCCAGAGGGGTTGCCTAGCTGGGCCTGCAGCTGCCAGGCGTTGGTCCAGAGCGCCAGAGCCTCCCGGTAGAGGCCAGTGCAGGTGAGGCTCTGCGCCCGTCGCAGCTCCGGCAGCACGAAGAAGTCCTGTAGGTCTGGGGCGTGACGCAGCTCAGGCACTGCCTGCAGATGGCCCAAAAACTGCTCAAAGGCCCGGCTGCGGCGGGCGATGGTCTCTGCAGTAAAATTCCGGCGCAGGCGCTTACGGGGGAAGGAGATGGCAGCCATGGGGCCCCGGAACTGACGCTGCAGGTTTCGGTGGAGTCGCTCGAAGTCCGAGTAGCGGCGAGAGATGTGGGCTGGTTGATGGGCTGGCAGCCCTGGGCCCGTCACGGCGAGGGTGTAGAGCTGCACGGAGGGTGGGAGTCAGGGAAGGAGCAGCTTGTCCACGGGCCCCTTCCCTACCCACCTCTTCCCTTCACCCCTGCCACTGGACCCAGGAGAGTGGGAGCCCACCCCTGTCTTACCTGAGACTCGTCTGAAATGACCCAGGCTCAAGGCAGCACAGGGAGAGAAAGACAGAGATGAACTTCAGAGCCTGGGGCTGCTGGCCCTTTGGACCCTTCTGGGGAGCAATCTTTTCCCATGGGTCGGTCCTGACAACCCCCCCGGACAACCAGCCTCAGGCCTCTGAGCCAGCCCTTAGGACCAGCCTGGAGCTGTGTCCCATGCTGGACACAGCCCCCACATCCCTGGCCAGGCTATTCCAAGCCAGGCTAGAGGGCAGGTCTTCAGACAGCCGTAACAGCAAGAAGTTCCCTGGGCTGAGAGTCAAGTTCTAACCCAGGGTCGGCCATTCCCTCCCTGTGTGGTCTCGGGGGAGGCAGTCCCTCCCCAGGTCTGCTTCCCGCTCCAGCGAATGCGGTGTTGGGCCGGGTGAGTGTTGACCCCAGCGTGGACCAGGTGCGAGCGCTGGCCGCTAAGGCTGTTGCTGGTGCACACGGAGCACCACCACCGCGGACAGCAGGCAGCTCTCCCTCTGGAGTGAGAAGATCTCAGTTTGGTTTCAATAAAAAGCACTTCTCTACCACTTCTCATCTCCATATTTAGAAAAGAGCCAGAAAGAGCATCTCGGGCCACAGCCTTCTTCAGAGGACAGCCCCCAGGCAGCCCGCACTGGCACTGTTTCATTTCCACTCTTACTTTCATGGGTAACTTCTCCTAATGGCAAGGACATGACTCCTAATGACAGTCCTGCTACCGAGTTGCCTTTTAAACTTACTCAAGAAAAAACCGAGGTAAGGAAAGGTGGCAAGCGAAGGATGGGGGGGGGGGGAACCTTTTTTTTCTGCCAAGGGCCATATGGCTATTTACAGCATCACTCGCGGGCCGTACAAAACAATCAAGTTAAAAATGAGCCTGCTACAGATGGATGGACTGAATTTCGAGTCTTGCCTGTGTCGGCCTTGGCAGGGCCAAGCCAAGTGATTCCACGGGCCTTGTGCAGCCTGCAGGCCGGACATCCCCTACCTCATCTGGAGCGACAGGTTTGAGAAACACTCAAGATGACCACTCAGCTTCTCCCAGGTCTGAGAACCTGAACAGGGATTAGGCTGTGAAATGCTGAGTCAGCAGGCTGTAAAGGGGCGTGAGCAAGCACTGGTTGTTACAGGCACACGAACACCAAACCCAGATTTTTCTGTTGGACTTTTTTCTATGAAATGGCTAATATTCTTCCAATTAGAATAGCCTGTTCTGTACTGTGCCTGAAGATTTGCAATGTACATTTTAATATAGGATTAAAAAGTTTAAAGACGCTTATTTAGCTCTTCATTCCCAAAGCATATAGTCTGCAAAACTTTTTTAACATCACTGGAAACCAGTTTTCTTCAGCATTCACTTCAGGAGGCACCGGTCTATAATAACCCCTTATGTTCATTTAGCTTTTATTTATTTATTTTTTATTTATTCATTTGAGAGCCCATTGCTGGTTCACTCCTTAGAAGTCAGCAGCCAAGAACCCAATCCCTGTCTCCCACGTGGGTGGCAAGAACCAGTCACTTGAGCCGTCACTGCTGCCTCCCAGGGCCACACCGTCAGAAAGCTGGAGTTCAGAGACGGAGCAGAGACTCCAACCAGGCAGGACAGTGTGGGACACGGCATCCCAGTTGGTGTTTTAACCATGAGGCTAAATACCGCGTCGTTTATATTTTCACTCTTCATTTTCTTGGTGCCAAAACCCATGTTAGATCATCTGATCCTCGAATGCCCCCTCCAAGATAAGTAACAGCACTTCCACCAACTGCACTTGCCCTGCGCCTGCTTCCATTAGCCATCATGGCAGCTCTGCGGGGTGCTGTCCTTATCAGACGGCTGAGGAAGCAGGCTCAAGGAAGCAGGCTCAAGGACGGGTAAAGGACTCCGGAGAGCCCTCGCTCACACAGCTGGGAGGCGCCCAGCTGGGCTGCAAACCCAGGTTGATCTGATTCCAGAACCCGTGCTCTTCCTCCCCAGAGGTTAGCAGGCTGGGGCACGCGTGGCTGTCCTGCTGTGTCCCATCTGTGTACCCAGGGTCAGCCCCGTTCCTTCCGGCCTCTAAGCGGCCGCTCCTCGGTGTCCCTCCCTGAGCGCGGCTCTGGGCCCTCTGCCACTTCAGACTCGGCCACGACAGCCAGCCTCTGTGGGATTTGGAGCCTGCTCCGTCACCCCGTGGGCGTGGCCCTGCTGACTACCAGCGACAGAGAAGGGTGGAGAGGCCACTTGAGGGTCAGGGCTCCAGAACCCTTCCTGCTGCATCGTAAGCGGAGAGGAAGGGAGTGAGGCAGCTTAGCTGTTTCAGGCCTGGCTGGGAGCAGGCCTTTGCCTACGAGTCCGCAGCAAGGAAACAGGGACCCGAAGGCCCTCCCCCACCCCGCTCTTCACCCTAATCCCCACCAGCCTCCTAGTGGAGCCCTTGGAACAAGAGCATTCTGTCCAGGGTAGGTGTTGAAGAACTGACTCTCCCTAGACACCAGACATTTTAAACCCCACGTTAAATAACGTGACTGCCATTTCACTGAGAACTTCACGGTGCCAGCTGCAGCGGTGGTGCTGGGGGCTTTCTGTGCGCTGGCTCACCGGACTCCCCGTCGCTCAGGTGCGGACACCACGGGTCATCGAGGCTACACAGCTCATCCCAGGCCAAACAAACGGCAGTAAGTGGGATGTGACTCCCAGGTCCTTAACCACTCACCCATGCAACTCGGGTCTCAAGTCTGACCCAGGTAGGGGTTCTTCCCCTTGGTATCTTGCACCTTGGCAAAAAGCCTGGGAGGCAGGAGCACACACCAGTTGACTTGTTCAGTCTCAGAACTGGGATGGGCCAAGCTTCAGAGCTTGAAAAACCCATTCATTCGTCTGAAGACTGGCTCAAATCACATCCTCCTCCTGGCCTCGTTTTCTCCATCTGTAAAATGGGACAGCCGCCACCACCATGATGGACTGTTCCTTACTGTCTCCCAGCCAGACTTCCAGACTCACAGCGCAGGGGTTCCTGGACCCTCACTCACCACGTACTTGGAGGGCGGGTCCTTGACAACGTTGGCGCTGGTCACCTCGAAGAGCAGCCGCTGGGGAACCAGGGTGTTCCGAGACTTCTTCCAGAAATCCTGCAGCTGCTTGGCCAGGAGCTGACTGCTCCGCTGCCCGTCAGGTGGGGGGCTCTGATCTGCGCACGCACAAGGAAGGGTCTTGTCAGCTGGCCTGGAGCCAGGAGCCCGTAAGCCGCCAGGGCCCGTGACCTCACTCATCCTTATTCACAGATGGAAACTGAGGGTCAGAGAGGCACCGGGTGACAGCAGACAGGAGGCGCCAAGTGTCTCCGCCCCCGAAACCTCAGCAGCCCCGCACTACCATTTGTATCCCTAAGGCCCACAACCTGGGAGACGGGAAAACTTGGTTCAGAGAGGTCTTGTGACTCCTAAGGTCACACAGCCGACGAGTGGCAGGGGTTTGCTGAGCGAAGCGCAGGAGCTCAGCCGGGGCCAACTCAGCGCCCCGGTGCCCGCGGGGCGGCGGCTGTGATGGGGGAGGCCTGGGGAGGCCCGGGGTCTCGCCGCAGCCCTCGCGCACTCGCCTGCGTCTTCGCCCGAGGCCTCGCCCCCGGGGGCCAGCGGGTCGGGTCCGGCCTCCTCGGCGTCGTCCTCGTCCTCGTCCTCGTCGTCCTCGGCGCTGGTGAAGCTAAGGGTGCCGCTGAGGCGGGAGGACAGGCCCTCGGCGTCGTCGTCCTCCAGCTCCGAGCTCTCCGGGAACTGCTCGGGCTCGGCACCGGCCACTGCCTCCCCGGGGCCATCGCCGGCCAGGACGTGCCGCAGCCGGTGCAGGAGCCGCGAGGCCATGGCACCTGGGGGGAGCGCGCGAGGCTGGGGCCCCGGCCCGGGCGGGAGAAGGGGGCGGGGCCCAGGGCGGGAGGGGCGCGCGGAGGCCACACCCCCACCCTCGGGGGGTCTGGCGAGCCCCGCGGCCCACCCGGGGTTGCCTTCCTCCACCCACGCAGCGCAGGGCCGCTGTCCTCCCGGCGGGCCGGGGGCGGGACCCGGCTCTTCGGGCCCTTTTGCGCGCTTCTACCTCCCGCGTCGCGCGCTGCACTCGGGGGCGCGCCGGTCCCTGGGGTCCCCGGTGCAGCACCCCGCGGCTGAGCGAGGCGGCCGGGCCTCCCCGGGCTCCGCCGGGCCCAGGCCGCTCCGAGCGCCGCTCCGGCCGCTTCCTGCCGCCGCCCCGCCTCCGGCCCCGCCCGCTCCCCGGAGCCGCCCCGAGAATCCCGGCTCCAGGAGGGACCAAGGAATCCTGGGTCCGCCCGAGGGAGCCCCGGGCCTCGCCGCGGAGTCACCCCCCAGCGCCGCCGGGCGCGCTCGCTCCCCGAATCGTCCCACCCCTGTCGCTCCCCGAATCGTCCCACCCCTGTCGCAGCCTCGGGTTAGCTCGGGGCCGCCGCCCACCCCCATTCCCTGGGTGCCCCCGGCGCGCTTGGAACTCTGCGTAAAGTGATTGTGCCACCTCGGGGAGCCCGTTCTCCGGGGATGAGGCCGAGGCCAGGAGAAGATGCGGGATCTGGGTTGGAGGAGGCCGACCTCTGGGAGCCCGGGTTTCCTCCTGGAAATCAGGACCCAGACTCCTAATTGTGCAGCTGGGGCAGGAACCCTGGAGCAGTGGCTGGCGCAGGACACAGCTGACGAAGCCATCTGTTACATAAGGCTGGTTCTCGGCCTTCGCGGCTTTCCCGGTCTCTCCCCGAGCCTCACACGTGGGAAAGAGGCGGACGGGGAAACTGAGACCCGGAGAGGCCGCCGTGCTGATCCGGGGTCGCGCTGCCGGCCACAGGCGCCTGAGCGCCGAGCCCAGAGCCCCCGAGTTCTGCCCGCTCTGCTTTTCCCACCCCGCGACCTGGCCTTGGTTTCTCTTTTATCACCGGACAGCCAGTCAAGAAAAAATTCGCTCTCAGTTTTCCTGTTGGCGGGCCTGGATGTCAGTCCCTAGCAGGGCGGATTTTGTTAGTTTTGTGGTGAAACAAACACAAGGCGTCTTCAAAAAGTTCATGGAAAATGCATATTATGAAACCACTAGGTATGGATTAAAAATTTTTCATACCAAAACAAGCTTCTCTTTGAATTCCATCTTCCCACAAACTATTTTTTTTAAAGATTTATTTATTTGACAGGTAGAGTTAGAGAGACAGACAGAGAGAAAGGTCCTCCCCTCCGTTGGTTCAGCCCCCTAATGGCTGCTACGGCTGGCACTGCGTTGATCCCAAGCCAGGAGCCAGGTGCTTCCTCCTGGTCTCCCATGCGGGTGCAGGGCCCACGCGCTTGGGCCATCCTCCACTGCCTTCCTGGGCCACAGCAGAGAGCTGGACTGGAAGAGGAGCAACTGGGACTAGAACCCGGCGCCCATATGGGATGCCGGCGCCGCAAGGCGGAGGATTAGCCATGTGAGCCACGGCGTCGGGCCCACAAACTATTATTTTTAAGATTTACTTATTTATTTGAAAGGAGGAGTTATATAGAGAGAGATCTTCCATCTGCTGATTCACTCCCCAAATGACAGCAATGGCTGAAGCCAGGAGCCAGGAGCTTCTTCCGGCTCTCCCATGTGGGTGCAGGGGCCCAAGGACTAGGGCCATCTTCTACTGCTTTCCCAGGCCACAGCAGAGAGCTGGATCGGAAGAGGAGCAGCCGGGACTTGAACCGGTGCCTATATGGGATGGCGGCACTGCAGGTGGCTTTACCCGCTATGCCACAGCGCCGGTCCCCTCTAAGCACTTTCTGTGCTGCCGCAGCCCCTGCCCTCACAGCCTCCTAGGGAGGGGCTTTTCTTGGCTGATAATAGTCCATTTTCAAGGGGAGGAAACAGGCCCACTGACTTCCCCAAGAGCCACAGCTCGGAAATAGGGGAGCTGGAGTTAAGCTTGAGAAACGTCAAAGCGCTAACTATGCGCAGCTTGGAGTCAGGGTGCTGGGGCAAAAAGACAGCTTCACTCATTCGCTCTCATTGACCAACCGCTGACTGAGCAGTCCTTTGTTGTGTGCCTGTCAAGGCTGGGTGCACAGCCGGGGTCTGAGCCATGGGCTGGGGCAGGGGCCGTGGTGCAGCTGGAGAAGTCACCACTGCAGGTGCCCGCGATCCCTTACCGAGTGCCGGTTCCGATCCTGGTTCCTGCTAGAGCGACCTGGAAGGCGGCAGATGGTGGCTCCAGTGCTCGGGCCCCTGCCACCCACCGGGGGAGACCCGCGTGGAGTTCCAGGCTGCTGGCTTCAGCCCGGCCCAGGCCTGGCTGTGGTGAGCGTTTGGGGAAGGAACCAGCAGATGGAGATCTCTGTCTCTCTGCGTCATTCTGCCTTTCAGTTGGAGAGAGTGAATGAAGTCCTGGATTGTTAGAGCAGGAGGGAGCCTCAGGAACCTGAGGCCTGTGCCAGGCCACAGCGTCAGAACTAGGAGAGCTTCTCTTTCTCTCTCTCTCTCTCTTTTTTTTTTTTTTTTAAATTTTTTTAAGTGCTAGACTCAAGCCTCAGCAAGGCAAATCTGAGTCTCTCTCACTCTCTTTATTTTTATTTTTATTTTTATTAATTTGACAGGTAGAGTTATAGACAATGAGAGAGAGACAGAGAGATAGGTCTTCCTTCCATTGGTTCACTCCCTAAATGGCTGCTAAGGCTGGCCAGGAGCCAGGTGCTTTCTCCTGGTCTCCCATGTGGGTGCCGGGCCCTAGCACTTGGGTCATCCTCCACTGCACTCCCGGGCCACAGCAGAGAGCTGGACTGGAAGAGGAGCAACTGGGACTAGAACCTGGCGCCCATATGGGATGCTGGTGCCACAGGCGGAGGATTAACCAAGTGAGCCACAGCGCCGACCCCTCTTTTTAAATTAAAAAAAAAAAAGATTAATGAATTTATTTACTTATTTGAAAGGGAGGGAGGGGAAGGGGGGAGAGAGAGAGAGAGAGAGAGAATCTTTCCACTGGTTCCCAGGGCCAAGCAGAAGCCAGGAACTCCATCTCTGTCTCCCACCTGGATGACAGGACCCCAAGCACTTGGGCCATCTTCCGCTGCTTTCCTGGGTGCATTAGTAGGAAACTGGATCAGAAGTGGAGAAGCGAGGGCTGGAACAGGCACTGGCTATGGATGCCGGCGGGCAAGCGGTGACTTAACCGCAGGCCTCCCCTCTAGGCCGTCTCCTGATGCGCTGTGTTCTCCAGCATTCTTGGACTCTGGGTGCATGTTTCTCCCCGAGAGATGACCGCCTACCTTCTGTGTGGGTAGCCTTGCTGGCAGGAAGCTCAATACCTCTTGAGGCCATCTTTGTCCATTAATGGTCAACCGTGACTGCTTGGAAGTTTCCTCATATTGAATCAGATGCCTTTCGGCTCACTTACTCCTATGTAAAGTCCATTTTTATTGAACACCTGCTAAGTGCCTACAGTTGAGTGCTGGGCAAGTGATGGTGATCAGCCAGGGTCTCTGGTCTGTGGAACTCAGGACAGGTGGTGATTACCAAGCATGTTCTGTGCTATGATTAGGAAATGACTGGAGACCACTGTAGACTCTCGGAGCCAGGCTGTAGGGGAAGAAGAACCCTGCAGGAAGTTTTGTCAAGGCCAAGAGCAGCAACAGCCAAGCGGACAGATGAAGAGAGGGAAAAATGAGAGCTTCTGGCAGGAAAAACAAAAACAAAAACAAAAAAAACCAGCATGGCCAGGGCTGCTGGTTTATCAAGGATGGTGTTTGGGGCAGTGTTTGAGCACTTAAGGGTGGGGAGGGGGGACGAGTTGCGATTAGAGGGGCGGATAGGAGCTTCCACGCTAAGGAGTCTGCACTTTGTCTATTTCCCTGAAGAAATGGAGGAACAAATTATGAACAAGTGATTGCTGTTCGACTCTCTGTTCTAAGAGGACCAAGTGCTTCCCGTGTGTCCCGACTGGGATCCCCTGGCTATCACCCCTCGGCCCTCTGCCTGGCTGGGGGAAGCCTTATTTAGCCCGGCCTGGCGCTGCTGAGCTTTCCTTGGGAATGTCTATGTGTAGGGGGAGGGGCGGCCCAGTTGCCACTGTCCATCTGCCCTCCTTGGTGTCCAGCCCCCATTGCCTGGCTCCCACACCGCCCTCGGTTGTCCTAGTGCTTTCTGGTGATTTCTGGTCACATGGCCATATGACCGTGAGCCTTGTCTGCTCCCCAGCACCCAGCCTAGGCTCTGGCCTCTCAGAGTGGGTGGGCTTGCCTTGGACTTCACCTGCCGGGGACCAGACTTCACTGCCCCTTTGCCTTCTGCCTAACCCACTGCCCAAGTCAGCGGATCACAGACACCCTTTTCCTGGGGCGGGGACTCTGAGAGAGCACTCTGCTTTGGATGCCTCCTCCTCCTCCGAGGGCTCCTCTATTCCTCTGGACGGTTCTCCTGGGTGGGCTCCCCCAAGTCGGGATTAACAGGAATCATCAACAGGACTACGGCTTTTATGATTCACAAAAATTAGCCCCAGTGAAATGGGGATAATAATAGCTGCTACCTCATAGGACGCACACCAGGCGAGATCCTGTGGTTGAAATGTCTGGCCCAGTGTGGCCCATCCTGGAGGTTCAACCAGTGGTGCCTAAGTACCGCTTTCCCCTCCTGAGCCCTGCCCCTCACTGTAGTTCGGAGACAGGACATTGTACTTGCCAAGCACCCACCCTGTGGGTCTGGCACAAGCTAGATGACTTAGAGACCTGAGCATCCTTCTGCCATGGTCTGACTGCCATGTCACCAATGAGGATACTGGGCTCAGAGCGGCTGCTTTACCCGCCCAAGGTCACACACCTTGCCGAGGCAGGGACCTGGACCTTGGGACTTCAAGGCTTGTGCTGTTCCCGTTCTACCATGCTGCGTCACTTGTCACTGTTCCGATCCTCCTCCTCCATCTTGGAGCCAGTGTGCTTCCTGGGGTGGGGGGTGGGGCTCTAAGGCGGCGGAGCAGGGTGGGGCCTCCTCCCAAGAATCTGGGACGTCAAGGCTTGCCACCTGCTCAGGGGCTTAAATTTCTCTGCAAGGGCCCTTGGCTAAATTAGGTAATGGGCTAGGACTCTGGGAGGGGTGGGGCTTGCTGACCCCAGGATCTGATTGGGCAGGGTATCCATTCCTGGGGAGCAGGGGGGTGGGAGGACAGGATGCCCCTACAAATCCCGGGGGCTGGAGTGGGCCACTGCGTCTGTGCGTGGTGGAGTTCAGGGGAGGCGGCTCACGGCAGGGGTGGCCCAGTGACCAGCAACCATGGTAAGGACATGAAGGGACTCTGCTCTGCTGGCTGGGGGCACTTCTAGACCTCTTTCAAGCAGATCTGGGTGTTCTGTGGGGTGGGAACTTAGATGCTTGATGGGGGACGAGAAGGTTGTGGAACACAGGTGTTCAGAGGAAGCCTGGGAAGTCCTTTGACTTCTCTTGGTTGGGGAGGGCTGGATGTCCCAGGGATTGGTCCTGCGGCCACTGTGCTGCCCACTGCGGAGGCTTCCAGCAGTGCTAGGCACAGAGCTCCGGGAGGTCTTATCCCATCTCCTTTATGGTGGTGACAGACCCCCAGGGGCTGCAGTGAGTTCCCCAGGGAGCCAGTGGTGGGGGGTGGGGGATGGGCTGGAAGCCTGGCCAAACCCTCCTGCTGTCAGTGAGAGAAGAAAGCCAGCTCCTAGGAAGATGGGAGGCCCACAGGGCCCCACGCCAACTCCAAGAGCCCTGAGGATGACGGAAGGGGCAGGAGACAGCAGTCGGAGGGACCCCCACCTCCCCGGGAGGGGTTTTGATTTGGGACTGAGGTTCCCCCTCCAGAGATCACTTCAAGGAGTAACTGGACCCCAGAGGCCAGCTGCTGCTGCCCATGCCCTGCTAAAAATAGCCTGCCCTCCTGGCACAGGCGGAGAGGAGGGCAAGAAAGAGGGGGAGAAATAGGAGGCCCAGGGCCAGGGCCCAGAACTGCTTGTCCATCTCACCCCTGCCTCACTGCCAGCCCCAGACTAGAGCCCCCAACCCGGATGGCCTGGCCCGGATGGGTCGTGGACGGCTCATTTTCATGCCACCCTCCGCCTAGCCTGAGGGCCGTGCACTCCAATGCCTGCTTGGCACCTCCACGCATGTGCCCCTGTCAGCCGGGGGTCCCCGTGTCTGGGCTGTGGCCTGACACTTAGCTAGTGCTCAGTACTCTGGGTTGCGTCATTACTGCACCCTGGAGCGGTGCAGGTACCTTGCAAAGCCCCTTTCCCGCCTCCGATTTCATCTCAGCCCCGAAAAGCCACCGAGAGGAGACCAGGGCGTGACCTGCGGCTTCCCCAAAGTCCCCAGGGGGCAGGGTGTGTGTTGGGGGGCTGGGTTGTGCCTGACTTGGCCCTACAAGTATTGCCGAATGAGGACCTCTGACCTAATCTGGGTCTCCGCTCTTGTCAGGTGCCGTGGGGACACACAGGTGGGACAGGTTTCCTGACGAAGGAGGGCGCTTCGTAGGGCGGGGTCGAGGTGGGACTGGGTGAGCAGGGTGGTCCTCCTGTGCTCTGACCCTGTGTCTCCTGCAGACGGACCAGCAGGCTGAGGCCCGGTCCTACCTCAGCGAGGAGATGATCGCTGGTGAGTGCAGGGTGGGGTGAGGGTGTGTGTGCAAGGGGGCGTGTGGGAGGGTGACATGTGCCAGGGCACATGTGTGGGGTCTGGGCAGCAGTGGGGGTGGGTGTGAGCCTGGCAGGCCAGCCCACCTCACCTCAGCTCTCCCCTCCACCCCCCTGCAGAGTTCAAGGCCGCCTTCGACATGTTTGATGCTGATGGCGGTGGTGACATCAGCGTCAAGGAGTTGGGCACAGTCATGAGGATGCTGGGCCAGACACCCACCAAAGAGGAGCTGGACGCCATCATCGAGGAGGTGGATGAGGATGGTGAGCGGGCAGCCCCGCCCAGGTCAGGGCCGCGGGGGCGCGAGGTGGGCCCGGGGCGGCGCTCAGTGCCTGCCCTGCGCCCGCAGGCAGCGGCACCATCGACTTCGAGGAGTTCTTGGTCATGATGGTGCGCCAGATGAAAGAGGACGCCAAGGGCAAGAGCGAGGAGGAGCTGGCCGAGTGCTTCCGCATCTTCGACAGGTGCGCGGGGTGGGGGGGCGCGGGGCGCGCGGGGCGGGGGGGCTCTCCCACGGGCACAGCACGGGAGTGCCTGGGGGGTGCGGGTGCGCGAGGGGCGCGTGCAGCGACGCCCGGGCAGCTGCTGAGCCCTGTCCCGGCCCTCGGCCCCAAAGGAACGCAGACGGCTACATCGACGCCGAGGAGCTGGCTGAGATTTTCAGGGCCTCTGGGGAGCACGTGACGGACGAGGAGATCGAATCCCTGATGAAGGACGGGGACAAGAACAACGATGGCCGCATTGACTTCGACGGTGAGCGCCCGGCAGTCGCGGGCGGGCGTCGGGGGCGCGGCAGGCCTCGGCCCCGCGGGTGGGGCTGGGCGTGGCCCGAGCGGAGCCGCCCCCAGCCCCCGCGGGCGGGCGGGTGGGCAGTGCTGGCGCTGAGCCTCGCCCTTGCTTTCCTGCAGAGTTCCTGAAGATGATGGAGGGCGTGCAGTAAGGCTGGGGTCTCCGCCTCGGCCCCGCCGGCTCGTTCCCTGCCCCGCGCGGGGGGCGCGGCCCCTTCTGGCTCCGTGTCTGGAAGGAATAAAAGCAAACGTTGCCAAGCTCATGGCCTGAGTGAGGGGCGGGCCGGGGCTGCGGGGAGCGGGATGCGGCGGGGCCACGGGGGGCTTCGGGCCGAGGGAGAGGGGGTGGAGGCCCCTGCCTGCCCCATCGCCGGTGTGTTCCCGAGCCTCTGAGCGTGGGTGTCAGGCTTGCCGTCGTGGGCCGGCTCCCGGGCCGGGAGCGGGGCGACGGCAGCGTTTTCTGCGAGCCCGCCCGGTCTGGTCCGTTCTTCCAGCGCTTGCGGGGCACCCGGCGCTGGCAGCGGAGAGGGGGCAGCAGCGGCAGCAGCTCCTCCCCGGGGGCCCCCGCCTCGGGCCGACCGCCGACTGCGAGAACCAGCTCCCGGGAACCTGACCGGGCCGCGCCCCCGCTGAACGTCCTGCAGGACCCCTCGGAGCCTCCAGAATCCAATCCAGATGCCTCGCTCTGGGCTCCCTCACTCCTCCCGCCGCCGCTCCTGCGTTTGCCGGCCTCTGGGCCCTTGCACGCTGCTGTTCCCGCTCCCTGCAATGCTCTTCCCCTTATGATCCTGGCAAATTCTTCAACCCACGAGGCCCAACGCGGAGACCATCTCCCCCCTTGATCCCTGCACCCACAAGCTGCAGATCTGGCTCCCATGGTGCTTTGCACACAATTCTGCATAGCAGGGATCAGGTCGTAGCTAATTGAGTGTAGTAGTTGTTGAACTTTAGAGTCAGGCTCTCTGAATTTGTATCCTCACTGCTTGACAGTAAACGACTTGGGACCTCAGTATTTTTATCTGTAAAATGGGGCAATGATCATACTTACCTTAGAGGGTTTCAAGAACAAGTTGGTATGTGCAAGGTGCTTAGAACAGTGCCAGGCACACAGCAAGTGTTTAATTAATGCTGTCCACCATTATCCTCCTCCTCCTCCCTGAAACTCTGTCCTGTTTTTTTTTTTTTTTTAAAGATTTATTTATTTGAAAGTCAGAGTTACACAGAGAGAAGGAGAGGTAGAGACAGAGAGAAAGGTCTTCCCTCCGTTGGTTCACTCCCCAAAGGGCCACAATGGCCGGAGCTGCGCTGACCCAAAGCCAGGAGCCAGGAGATTATTCTGGGTCTCCTACGTGGGTGCAGGGGCCCAAGGACTTGGACCATCTTCTACTGCTTTCCCAGGCCATAGCAGAGAGCTGGATCGGAAGAGGAGCAGCCAGGACTCGAACCGGCGTCCATATGGGATGCCGGCGCTTCAGGCCAGGGCGTTAACGTGCTGTGCCACAGGGCCGGCCCCTGTCCTGCTGTTTTACGCTTGCTACCTGCCGCTCTCTCCATCTTGGTCCTAGTCTCTGCTTTGTCCTGTTGCTGATTTCCCGGTTTGCTGTTCCAGCCAGGGTTGGTGCTGGGATTCCAGCACCGTCATGGCTGTGCCTTGTGCCTTATGCACTTGGTCTGGGTCATCCACATGGCGCATCCAGAGGCAGATGCTGCTCTTATCCCCGTTTTGCAGTTGTGGGAACTCAGGCCCAGGGAGGTGAAGTAGAGCAGCCCACAGATAACAGCCTGGATGGGGCCCAGCACAGGGACTCTGGTGCTCACCCCCCCCCCCATACACCCTCTGTTTCCTGTCTCCTTACCCTGCTTCATCCTCCTCTCTGTGCCCACTGGGCACTGCCCCTGGACCACCACCCCCCGGACCACTGTCCCCTGGGCCACCGCCCCCCAGGCCAAACACTGGCCCCCAAGTAAGACTGTTCTGAAAACAAATCTGGTCACATCACTGTCCTGCCCAAGGCTTCATTCTTTGAATGTTGCCCTCAAGATAAGTGTCTGCACTTTAATGTGGCCTGAAACGCCCACTGAGGCCCAACATCCCTCCCCTTCTCCCTACACCCATGAACACACACGTCCTGCTGTCCAATGAAGCCGCTTTCTTGTCTCTGCCAGCCTCATGGTTCACTCCTTCTCCAGGAAGCCCTCCTTGCCCTCCTGTTCATTAGACGCCCAGCACTTAATGAGCGCTTCCTATGTGCCAGGCACTGTTCTCACATCCTTCAATGATTCCGTTTCATAGCGAGGTTAAGTCTAAGTGCCCAAGTGCATGCAGGCAATACGAAGCCAGGAGCCGCAGCCGCAGCGCTGAGGCCAGCGCACCGCGCTGATCCGAAGGCAGGAGCCAGGTGCTTCTCCTGGTCTCCCATGGGGTGCAGGGCCCAAGCACTTGGGCCATCCTCCACTGCACTCCCTGGCCACAGCAGAGAGCTGGCCTGGAAGCGGGGCAACTGGGACAGAATCTGGTGCCCCGACCGGGACTAGAACCCGGTGTGCCTGCGCCGCAGGTGGAGGATTAGCCTAGTGAGCCGCGGCGCCGGCCTCAGCAACCTGTTGTAAAACTCTCCCAGTGGTGGGTTCCAGAGAACACTCCGATGGCTTCTGAGCTACACGTGAGGACTGGGTCCCCGTGACTGACACGAGGCCGGCCTCGGGACTACCTGGTGGGCTGAACACCAAGATCAGGGACCACAGGGAAAAGATTTCCTCGAAGGCAGACAAAATAGGTTCACCTCTTAGCAGGTTTATTAAAAACCAGGGGGCTGGCGCTGTGGCACAGCGGGCTAAGCCACCACCGTGTGTACGCTGGCATCCTATGTGGGAGTGCCGATTCAAGTCCTGGCTGCTGTTTCCAATCCTGCTCCCCGAGAACGCACCTGGGCGGCAGCAGAAGATGACCCAAGTAGTTGGGCCTCTACCACACACGAGGGAGACAGGGATGGAGTTCCTGGCTCTTGGCTCTGGCCTGGCCCAGCCCTGGCCGTTGCAGCCATTTAGGGAGTGAACCAGCAGATGGAAGATCTGTCTCTCGCCACTCGGGTCTCTCTGCCCTTCAGATAAACAAACAAATCTTTAACAAACGGAAAGAACCAATCCTGTGATAGCTTCTGCCTCTGCTTTGCCCAAGCATCATCTGACCCCATGACTTCAAGCCCCAGAGAGCATCTAACCTGGAGAGCTTGTGGGGACCAAGAGCGTGGTCTTTCTACCAAGTTCCAGGTGGAGTCTGTGCTGGGGGAGGACCACACCCCGCGATGGCCACCTTCCATGTTTCCTAATGAGACTACAGCAGTGACACCGCCTGGGAGCGGATTAGACATGGAACCTCACGCCCTCGCCCAGACTGACTGAATCAGAATCTGGCGCTGTGGCTTAGCGGGCTAAGCCTCCGCCTGCAGCGTCAGCATCCCATAGGGAGCCAGTTGGTGTCCTGCCTGCTCCTCTTCCCATCCAGCTCTCTGCTTGTGGTCTGGGAAAGCGTGGAAGATGGCCCAAGGTCTTGGGCCCCTGCACCTGCTTGGGAGTCCAGGAAGAAGCTCCTGGCTTTGGCCTGGTCCACCCCTGGTCCCTTGGTCATTGTGGCCATTTGGGGAGTGACTCAGAATATTTAAGACCTCTTTGTCTCTCCCTTTCTCTGTAACACTCTCAAATAAATAATCTACTTGAGGGGCCGGTGCTGTGGCATAGCAGGTAAAGCCACCGCCTATAGTGCTGGCATCCCATATGGGCGCAGGTTCAAGTCCCAGCTGCTTCACATCCAATCTAGCCCTCTGCTATGGCAAAGCAGTAGAAGATGGCCCAAGTCTTTGGTCCCCTGCATCCGCGTGGGAGACCTAGAAGGAGCTCCAGGCTGGCATAGCTCTGGCCATTGCGACCATCTGGTGAGTGAACCAGTGGATGGAAGACTCTCTCTCTCTCTCCCCCTCTCTGCAACTCTGCTTTTCAAATAATTTTTTTTTTAATCTATTTGAAAGGAAGGCAGGCCAGGAACCTGGACCTAAACTCCGGCCCTCCGATATGGGAGGCAGGTGTTATGTCTCATCTGCTCAAGGCTCAGAGTGGACTTGTACGCCCATGAGATGGAGAAGCTCCGAGCAGAGCGGTTCAGGCACGACACACTCAAGTTCCAACCCCAGACCTGAAAGCTCCAATTCTTTACACGTGACTGGAGGTGGGGGCTGCCGGCTGTGTCCCCCCCAGGCCTGGGTGCTGAGTGGAGGCCGGGCAGTGCAGGAATGCACCTGGGTAGCTTGTTTACCTCAGAGATCTTCCTGTAGGCCCAGGCAGGGCCCATCATCCCAGCCTGCTCTCCTCCCTGCAGTTCTGCACAGGTGTCTCCTCCAGGGGTCCCAGGGCCAGGGCAGGAGGTGATGTCTCCCCTTGGAGTGCGGAGCCTTCCCTGGGGAACTGGGCCTGGTGTAGAGCAAGGGGCTTTCCCCTGCTGCCTCCGCAGACCCTGGCCCTGCTCTGGCTAACTGGAGCCTTCTCTGTTGGAAGTGGGTGGGTGGTCCTCCCCTCCAGCACGCATAGCTGGGGCAGCTCCAGTACCTACTAGCATTCCTGGGGCTTGTAGTCGCTCCTTCAGAGAAACCAAGGCCACAGGGGAACAAGCCACTGCTTGGCCTTACAGCCTGTCACCTGCTTCCACCGCTGAAGAGGGGAACAGGCCAATTGCCCAGATGCGAGACCACCCACCCTGCCTGCCCTGAGCACCCCCAACCCAGGGTAACCGCGAGGCAGCAACTTCTACAAAAACAACCAAAATGTGTTTATTTAATATATATCACAAGAACTCAAACAGACTTAATTTAAAAAACAAACAAAAATAACACCACAGCTCAAGACACAGTCCAGTAGAGGTCAAGGACAGGACAGATTCTAAGGCAGAACCAGGAAAGGCGACGGCACAGGGAGAGGCTGGGCAGCCCGGGTCAGGGGTCTTGGCTGGAGACCTGCTTTGAGTAGGTTTCTTGCAGGTACTTCTTAAAAGCTGGAAGAGAACGGGCAGGTGGATGGTGAGAGATGGGCACGGACGCCTTTCATCAGGGTGGGAGAGGGCAGTCAGGGACGCTAAGGGGAGTGCCAGGGGAGGCTGGTGGCCGCGCCCCTGCTTTTAGGGAGACTGGGGAACAGCACAGGAGACCAAGTCTGGGAGGGGTTAATTTCCCATATCCGCTCCCTCACCCCAGCGAGCAGGAGGTTCTA